ACCATTTGTAAAGGCAAAATATCCTTTAAAGCAGGATCAACAAATAATCTCCATCGCCACTTAAAAACACAGTATCTAATATTAAGAGTTGCATGAATTTCATTCAAGGCAAGGCAACTTTATTTACTTAACACATACAGAGGGTAAATTCAAAGTACATTCACTGACATGATGACATGGATATGGCGCCACCTTGTGTCATGTTTACAATGCCGATTATTGACATTAGGTCTGGCAATACAGTCAATCATTATCCTGGTGATTATTTTGCAGATAAACCTAGTAACCTTAAAAAAACGGCTCTTTTGAACGGCTCTTTTGAACGGCTCTTTGAAAGGAACGGAGCCATAAGATCCGGCTCCCTTCAAAGAGCCATAATTCCCATCACTAGTGTGTATCAGAGTGTGTATCAGAGTGTGTATCAGAGTGTATATCAGAGTGTGTATCAGTGTGTATCAGAGTGTGTATCAGAGTGTGTGTCAGAGTGTGTGTCAGAGTGTGTATCAGAGTGTGTGTCAGAGTGTGTATCAGAGTGTGTATCAGAGTGTGTGTCAGAGTGTATATCAGAGTGTGTATCAGAGTGTGTATCAGAGTGTGTATCAGAGTGTATATCAGAGTGTGTGTCAGAGTGTGTATCAGTGTGTATCAGTGTGTATCAGAGTGTGTATCAGAGTGTGTGTCAGAGTGTGTGTCAGAGTGTGTATCAGAGTGTATATCAGAGTGTGTATCAGAGTGTATCAGAGTGTATGAGTGTATCAGAGTGTGTATCAGAGTGTGTATCAGAGTGTATATCAGAGTTTATAAAACGGACAAGTCAAATCAAGCAATCTGATTGGTTCTTAGCCGTGATATACTGAGCGTATACCACGGGTAGAATTGTAAGTTACTTTTCACAACAAGTCAGTATCCCTCCGCGTCTGAGATAAACAGTATACAGTTGGGCTGAAAAGCAAACTGCCTGCAGTTTGCTTTTCAAACTGGAACAAGAAAGCAGCGGAGAAGTAACGGGCAGAAACCCTCCTTTTTACGCAGCGGTCCAGACATAGACATCAAACGGCAAAAACATATTCAGTGTGCAGTTCCTTTGGCATTAGGGCAGGGATATCTAGATACTTTCCAAGGTTTGACATAATGAATTGTGCTACTTTTAAAGCAAGCAACGATGTTTTCAAATCTGTAATCAAAAAGGTCCGCAAAAACATTTAAGATTAACTTCGACCTCCGGGGGGGGGGGGGGTCTCACTATGGAGGAGTGGATTGAGGAGTGCCTATCTCCAGAAAGCACCTAAACGACGACATGCAGAGCTACGTGAAGAGCAGGTCGACCAACTGGAAAAGTATCACCATTCAAAAGCTTTCTGATGCGGGTCTTGAAACAAAGCAGAGAAATTATGACCGTTAGTGGCCACAGGTGAGAAAGCTCTCTCCAGAGCTACTGGAAGCCGAATCTCTGGGACCGGAGAAAGTGGAGCAATATTCTCTCCACGCCAAGCAACAGCCTAGAACAACCTCAGCCTATACAAGTAACCACGTAAGCCATGCTACTGATGCTGGACAGGTTTTCAGAGGGTGCACAATAAACGGCAACATACACATTAATGTAAATAAATAGCCAAATAATGGATCAACGCTCTCTGTCTAATATGTTCGCTAGCTGTTAGTGTTGTTGCATAGCAACCACCTCGCACTATGTTTCGTGCAGAAGGCAACGGAGGGACTATTTTATTTTGAACATCATTATTTACTAATAACAACTATTTAAATTAGAGTGTGTATTTTTCTTTCATATTGCCACACTTGGTAACCGTTTTATAAAAGCAATAGCTCACTTCAGGCCGTGATATATGCTCATTATATCACAGCTAAGGGGGTTGTCGACCCTCCGCTTCGCGTCGGGCCGAACCACGCCCCTTAGCTGTGATATAATGGCCATATATCACGGCCTGTCGTGAGCTATTGCTTAAGTATATCAGAGTGTGTATCAGAGTGTGTATCAGTGTATATCAGTGTGTATCAGTGTGTGTCAGAGTGTGTATCAGAGTGTGTATCAGAGTGTGTATCAGAGTGTGTATCAGAGTGTGTATCAGAGTGTGTATCAGAGTGTGTATCAGAGTGTGTATCAGTGTATATCAGTGTGTATCAGAGTGTGTATCAGAGTGTGTATCAGAGTGTGTATCAGAGTGTGTATCAGAGTGTGTATCAGAGTGTGTACCAGTGTGTATCAGAGTGTGTATCAGAGTGTGTATCAGAGTGTGTATCAGAGTGTGTATCAGAGTGTGTATCAGAGTGTGTACCAGTGTGTATCAGAGTGTGTATCAGAGTGTGTATCAGAGTGTGTATCAGAGTGTGTATCAGAGTGTGTATCAGAGTGTGTATCAGAGTGTGTATCAGAGTGTGTATCAGAGTGTGTATCAGAGTGTGTATCAGTGTGTGTCAGAGTGTGTATCAGAGTGTGTATCAGAGTGTGTATCAGAGTGTGTATCAGAGTGTGTATCAGAGTGTGTATCAGAGTGTGTATCAGAGTGTGTATCAGAGTGTGTATCAGAGTGTGTGTCAGAGTGTGTATCAGAGTGTGTATCAGAGTGTGTATCAGTGTGTGTCAGAGTGTGTATCAGAGTGTGTATCAGAGTGTGTATCAGAGTGTGTATCAGTGTGTGTCAGAGTGTGTATCAGAGTGTGTATCAGAGTGTGTATCAGAGTGTGTGTCAGAGTGTGTATCAGAGTGTGTATCAGAGTGTGTATCAGAGTGTGTATCAGAGTGTGTATCGGAGTGTGTATCAGTGTGTGTATCAGAGTGTGTATCGGAGTGTGTATCAGAGTGTGTATCAGAGTGTGTATCAGAGTGTGTATCAGAGTGTGTATCAGAGTGTGTATCAGAGTGTGTATCAGAGTGCTCCTGCTCCGTGTTGCAGGGCCGCTCTATTTAAAGCTAAAAGCCTGTTCGAGCCCACCCCCCCCACCCCCCCGCAGGGCAGAGCGACTTCCTTTCTCTGCTAACAAAGTGTTCATCTGCAACAATGTGGGGAGCCCGGACCCATTGACTGCTTTCAGACATTTCTGTACAGACATCTGAGCGAGAGGTCAGTGAACACCAGCGAGGGATGTTTGCATGTGTGGTCGTGTTTTTAAGGAAATAAGAGAACGATTTGTTTTGATCATTTTTAGAGTAAGCAGTAGATGTGTTGTGTGTCTTCAAGACGAAGGGATGCAGCGGGACGGATCATGAAAAGGAAAGTTGGAAACTACATGTTTGGGCTATAATGATCTCTTTTCTGCAGCCACTACAAACCACAATCATTATTTTCAATTCAATATTAAGAACTGTTTGCATCAATTTGAGTCCAAATCCAACTATTTCGATATCATATTCGGTAACTTTTAAAGAAAATTCCAGCTTCTTAACGTGAATGTGTTCTGGTTTCTTCATTCCTTTAATATCTCTGATTTGTTGACATAACAACAACCAGATAATTGACATGTTTCGCCATCAATCCATACGTTTTCAACTATTAAACTCAACGCCGAATTCTGTGATTCTTAAACGTTTCAATCTTCTGGTTTCTTTACTCCTCTCTCCTCTGATTCGATAACTTGAAGGTGTGGACAAAACACGACGTTTAAGATCTGAATAACAGTGTTGAGATGAATCGACGATGGAAATAATAGTTTGTTGCGGCCCTGATGGCCTTCACCTTTTGTTGAGTAGCATCGAGCTTCATTTAGCAGGAATAGAGCGGTGCAGGGATGATGTATGTTTGTAGTTCGACCCTGAAGGAAGCTGCTGGTTCCCTCCACAAAAAGCAACGGGATCTCTCCATAGGATTTTGGAATATTGTAAAAAATAAGATCTGTGTAAAACGAACCTGTTTGATAAATGCACGTTTTGTTCAGCCGGATAATCTCCACATGTCTACCCTACTTTTATAATTTTCTAATCATAAATTGAATGGCCAGAAGCAAAATGCTAACGTTATCTACAGCCGAGTACAGCAGCACGACTTCAACGTCACGCTAACTTAAAGTGGACCTATCATGCTATATTTGAATAATATAGTGTAGGACCATACCTATATAAGGCATTTTTATACTTTTTTTTTTTTCAAAATACCAAATAGATCATGCATTTTAGCCATGCCTCATTTTGCTCAATTTGACATTTTTTAGCTCTGTTTTAGCAAGGGCTGATTCAGTGAGAACAGCACCACCTACAGGCCTGGCATATGTACTACAGCGTCTCCAGCGCTTTCGAACGGCAATGGCCGTGGCTGTCTCCTCCTGATTGGTGGAGTTGGCCCAATAGCCGTAGCGCCACCGTCCTGACGTCAGGACAGTGTTCAAATCTGGATCAGTTTTTATCAGATCCGTTGCAGCCCCTTTTTTAGAGATTTGGGTATGGAGGAAAATAGAGAGGGTTGTGTTTTCTGACACTTGGTGAGTTCCCTGGAACACCGGGGACACATATTCATGTATAAAAGACGTACAAAAGTGCATTTTGCATGATAGGTCCCCTTTAAGATCCATATTCAAACACACAGATTCTAAATGGTACGAGTTGAAGCGTTTGTTTGAACAGTTTGCAGGAGGCAGGTACTTGCTTTCAAGCAGAACAGGGCAAACTAACTTAGAGGAGTGTTTACGTGTTCGGCGTAATGACGTACAACGGCCTCCACAACTTCTGTAGTCCTATTCAGCCACTTGGTAACAACCATCGTTTTTCAGACACGTCAACTCTTCAGAAATCACCAGTGGGGTCACTGCTGATGGATTTAATGTCGTAGAACAAAACGTGATCCGTCTCTTCAATGTGTCTCAACCTCAGACCTTATTTCCAGATATTTTCCAAAAACGAGTTCAAAAATCCCGTTGACTCTGAGACGAGGGAACAGGAAGTGGTAACATGCTGACTAACTTCCGGGTTTTAGGACTCATTCCTGCACCACTTTATCTCCTGAGTGTGGAGAGTGAACAGCAGTACTGTAGGTGTCTCCTGCTCTCAGTACCTGCAGGGCCCCGGTGCCCGGCTGCTGCAGAAGCTTCACCGCTCGACCTCCTGCTGACTTCTGCCCGCGGCCATCGTGCCAGGTTAGATTCCCGCCTGTGCGTCGACTCAGCTGGTGCTTGAAGTCCTCGGGCAGAGCTCTGTACTCCACAGCCGGCCTGACGAAACTGAAACTGGCCGCCGCTGGAGAGATGAAAGCAAGAGGCATAATGATTAGACAGCTGGGTATACATGTTACTTCCTGCTCTGCATTTTCCATTCACTTGACTTGTGTTGTGTTGTGAGCACACTTCCCTCTCTCCTCTGTTGACACGTGTGTGAATATTACATTTCTGAATCGGGTTTTTGTATGCATGCATGTTTTTAATTAACACACAAAGGAGCGGTACGTCTCATCCTGTTTCCAGAATGTTTTCAAAAATGCCATTTCTCCTAGAGCTGCAAGTCATGATTTTCCATATTAACCAATATGCCTATTTGGTTGACAAAGGGATTCATTGTTTGACCATGAAACATGTCAAGATCACAATATCCTAAAGGCAAAGGCAGCTTATTCTGTACAACCAATATTTTATGTTATCAAACAAGAGGAATACAAATTGCAGATCCTTATTATTTAGACGCCGGCAGTGAAGAGTGTTTGGTATTCTGGCTGGAAAACTGACAAATTATAATTATCTTCCCGCAACAATACATGCTACAACAATGAGCATGAGACACAGTCGCTCAGCTCTACGTGAGTTGAAAAACAAAAAGCCTGACTCAAGCCTGTTATTCAGGATGATGTCACTATGGAACCTGCTCGTACCTGTTTTACTGAGCAGCTGTGAGGTAACCTTCACAGACACCTGAGCCTGGAGCACCTGGGTCATTCAGGAAGTCAGTGTCTGTTTGTGCAGAGTCTGTGTGTGAAATGTCAGGTCCTGTGAGAGGAGAAACGTTCTCTTCATAACGAGGAGGCATGCAGGCAGGCATCCAAACTCCTACACAGCGAGGGGGGGGGGGGGGGTTTCCAACAGCCAGTAATTAAAGAAAGTGTGGATCTCCAGTAAACAAACTGTTACTGGCAGAAAGCCACGGGTCATTACTGATTCATGCGCCAGATTGGGAGAATGTTCTCACCGTGTTTGAAGCCATGTGTGCAGCTGTGTTTGTGTGTCGGCGAGCCTCGCTAGATATCTTAAACTGAGAAGAGGAGGATTTGAAAAGAGGACAACACGAGAGCAGGGACGCGGGTTGCAGGAGATGAAAGAGTGTCTTTTAGTTTTCTGTCACTCCACATCTGAGCTTGTCGACACGCTGAGAGCCGAGCTGAGTCCTGCAATCATCGAGGCAAACCAGTGGCATTATGAAGAAAACTCTGAGTGCTATCTTTGGTTTCTTTGAGCTGAAACTCCAAGGCTCTGTGTGTGTATACGCTCCTCCAGAGTCATCCCCCCCAGGATGCAGCTGTGCCCACAAACGTGCCCTTTTCCCGGATTAAACACATTTAATTAACACCACTTGTCAGGCCCAGCTTTTTTCTTCCATGGGAGGAAAATAGTCCTCATTAGCTTGCACGCATATAAATTACAAGCACCGAAAATAAAAGTCTTCCATGCACAAAGATGTTTTGAATAATCTCCCGCAGGCAACATGTTTCACTTGAATCTGCTCTGTGGATCACTTTACATTTCACTCAGGCTTTAACTCAAAGTGACCTAAAATAAGTGCAATCAACCATGAGGGTCCAAATTTAGAATCCTGCGAGTGCATTAGCTTCAAATAAGCCATCAAGTTTAAGTGCATTCAACAGGGGGCAACGCAGATACTGCATAGCTTTCTTTTTTACTAACAGTAAAGCATTCCTGGTCAAATAAAACATGCAAATCATTTATAATTCGACACATGTAGAGAAACTGAAATGCTAAACTGACCACAACAACAGTGAGCATTAGACTGGGTCGCTGTCCTTTCAGCACCAAGTCACTGACCACCAGCAGACCCCCCTTTACCTACATCTGCATACTGTCTCTATACTGTCTCTATATTGTGCAAACAGCTGAGTTTAAGCAGCTGTATCATAGTTCCTATTCCCTAAAGTAGATGTATTGTCATGTTTAAACCTCACTCTGTGTCCTCTCTCCTGTCACAGCAGGCCTTTTATCAACAGACCACTAACCCACTTGGCAAACCGGTCTCACGAGGATTGAATTAAACCAACAAGATCGACGTCGAACTTTCTCCCCTTTTTTTTTTAAAGGAGAATTTAGACTCATTGATTGTAATTGAATAAACAGAGAGTGGCTTACCGTCCACAGCCATGATGGTGTTTCCGTGTCGGGTTCAGTGAGAGTCTCCCATGTCTCCGCTGACCCCCGGGCTGCGGCTCCTGCTGCCCGCCTCTCCGCGCTCTATTTACCGGGAAAAGTTTGAGAGGCTCGGCAGGAGGAGTGACGCTCCCCGGACAGCCGGTAAAATGCGATAAAAAGCAGCTCCGGTGTGTTTCTCGTAGTTTCTGTTGGACAGGAATGTTCCCGAGCAGCTGAACGACTGGGTCTGCTGGTTACCGGCGTGCACGCGCGCTCGTTCACGTGTGTGTTTGTATATGTGTGTCGTGAGAATGGGACGTGCGGCTTCTTCTCAGAGCAGCCCGGGCTCAGAGTGCTGCTCCGGGCCTGTAATTACAGCGGAGCGAAAGAAAAGGCTTCTCATCACTGCACCGTCAAGAAAGAGGGGGCTGTGTGTGTGTGTGTGTGTGTGTGTGTGTGTGTGTGTGTGTGTGTGTGTGTGTGTGTGTGTGTGTGTGTGGTGTGTGTGTGTGTGTGTGTGTGTGTGTGTGTGTGTGTGTGTGTGTGTGTGTGTGTGTGTGTGTGTGTGTGCTCCCAGCTGCACACTTTTATTTACTCACTCATTTTATCACCTTTCACTTTTAATGAACATGTGTTGCCTGTTTACTGCCTCTTGAACCACATGCGGTTGAACAGCAGTTACCACATTTTATTATTTTAAGTAGCTTACTGGTAGATCAGCTATTTGTATATTGAGTCGAGCAGTAAGATGACTTTTTTTGCAGCAGTTTGTGTTCATGTCACTACTGAAACTACAAAACTATTTGGGCCTTAACATTTCTTTTACCGTGCTTCTCTTCTGTGATTGAACCACTGTGATTCTGATGGTAAGAAGACATGACCAACACCAGCACACCAAACTCCAGGCTGTTTTCGTTCAGAGACCCCTAGTGGAAGAAAACTACATATTGTGTGTTTTAATGAGAAATGCTGCCATTAATCCAGCCTGAATTTCCACTAACAGAAATTCATATTGGACATAAGTTTAATTATGATTCGTCATCATTTCTAAATCCAAGTGCTATCAGCAATCAGAGTCTGAGTGGGGAGGCACGAATAAGACATGTATACAAAGACATAACAAGAGACTGAGCTGCTACAGATCTAACTCTATAGCTTCAGGTTGTCTGGACTAAAAACATTTCATGGTTCTCATCATTGTATTTATAATTCTCTTACGGCAGGCTGCTTTAGTTTTGAATCCGTTTGGTTGAACTTTACAAAAGAGCAAAACGTGAATGCATTGTAACCTCGTGTTATCAAACTGGAACGAGCGGAGGACAAACTAAAGAGACTGAAACATGAGGTCCTCCTGAGACGGATTCTGACAGGGGGGTTGGTTTAGAATTGCTACAATATTTGGGTCTGCAAAAACTATGCATGATGTAGGTGACAGGTAGTTTGGAGTAATTGTGTGAAAGTGTGTTTCCAGCTGCAGTCCTTTGAGATGTGTTGAAACCAAAGAAGTGACGGTTAGGTACAGACAGAAGACAGCGTCATAAAGACAGCAGAGCAACAGGAAGAATCTGTAGGGTCCAATATTCCCAGTCTCACCCCTGCTCACAACATCAAGAGTTTGAGTCAGTGTGGATTCCTCGGATAACCCGATTTAAAATTCTTTCTTTGGGTTGATAAGAATCAGAAGATGCCAGGAGAGGATGCCAGGAGAGGATGCGAGGCGGAGCCCTGCTGTTTTTGGAGTTGCATCGAGTGATTGATGTTTATTTTAAATGACTCAGATATTCTGTTGCATCCTCCCACAATGAATGCCTCCAACTTCCCGCTCACCACTGGTGATTACTGCCGGACTCATTTCTAGAAACAGCGGTCACAGAAACCATCGCCGTGTCTCCCAGTCACACCACACAGTGACTGGGTTAACTGGCGGCTGTGGTTGTGATGAGTCCCCCCTGCAAATGTTTCCCTGCAGCTCTGAGCTCCTGTTAAACTTTAAGCATGTACACATTCGGCCCAAAGATGAAAGGGAGCGTTAAAATTAATAGTTTCCACCGGAGGGAACATCAAAGAGCCTCACATATTAATACAAGAGAGGCTTCTCTGAGCCTTTTGTTGTCAGGGTTCACAAAGGAACGAATCCTCAGCCGTTGTTTTTATGGTCATTCTATAAATCCAGAAAACCCTGCCCAGTGTTGTAGCTTCAGTCCAAACAGGGAACATGTGGTGCTGTAACACTACGGACACAAGGCAGAGGCAATAGTCTTTTATGCAGCAATAAATTATAACTATTTTTAAATCAAAGTAAAAGTATTTGGAAAACTGAGGAGGTGGTTTCTTTTTGAAATGTCTAAGCCAGGAGTGAACACCAGAGGGCAGCGTCAGTCTGAGACATGTGACTGTATTCTGGTACTGAGCTATAATTAAACAGTGTTCAATTATTACATTAACCTGTTAAGCACCAAGCCTGTTTTTCATGTTTCAGGCTCGAAAATGACATGCCCAAAACAAATGACTACAACTTAACTTCTAAAAGGGTTATATGAATAATTTATTTTATCAAAGGAAGGTTACATCTGTGAGTTGGATGTAGAAGTGTCAGAATCAATATAGATGTTTTTTATTTTAAAGAAAATTCAGATTTTACATATTAAAAAACTGTAAATTATAGTGTCTGTCCAAAAATTCTTTTTTACAGATAGTGAAAACTACCCTTGGATGATGGGTTAGTAGACTAAAAGCTTTAGGAATCCAAAGTGCAACATATAATAAGTACCCTGTATCAAGAACAAGTGCAAAACAAGTGACATTTGACCTTTTTAGAAAGGTTTAGCCAAAACCACTCCACCTCTGAGGTGATTTGGGTGAAAATGTTTTTTTTCCCATATCTCTGGCCCCCCTTGGTCGATTTGGATGGTTGACACCTCTTTCTGACCGTTAGAGCCAATAGAATCGAAGGGGGAGCCCGCCACACACACACGTTGAGAAGAGGTGGGGGCTTCGCGCATGTAATTTTGCGTCAGAGTGGACCTATCTCTAGCTCTGACATTTGGAAACGAAAAAGCAGTTTTATTGCTTATGGATTATCAGAAATGATTTCAAAGAGGACACAGACACATTGGATTAACCTATGGATTAACTGCAGCATCGTTTTTTTTCTCGTTTTAATGCCATTGAAGAGCAGTTTTGACCAAGGTAAGCCATGTTAGCGTTTCTAGCTACCTAGCTCCACATGTTCTGATGTACGCTTTCGTTTATAGCGTCGCAAATGTTTATCACTGAGTGTTGAGGTTTTTTACACAGATTCTGTGTCTCCAGGAGATGCTAATCGATGGGTTGGCTGTGCATCTAGGATAAGTAATAAGGGAGTTATGAGTGAGTTTAGGTTACATTTTTTCGCTCGTGGCTAATTCAGAGGCTGAGTGTTAGCATTGTGGGTTTTTTTTTGGATTTTTTTTTTAAAAAGATCAGTTAGCTGAGTTTCTTCCCGTTACATGGATATAAAACATTCATAGTTTATTAAATATTAAGATTCCTTAGACGTTGTTTCCTGCAAATGACGCGTTTATCCGCCCGGTACCGGGGGGGCGGTGCGTAACAGGTTAAAAGAGCTTTAAAAACGTCAAATAATGAAAAAACGACATGTTATAAGATGTGCTGTTTGTATTGTATTACGAACATCTCTGCTGTTCTATGAAATCCTTTTTGAAATACAATGTAATCACTTTTATTTTATTTTGACATGCTTTCATTGAGGTCCCACGTTTTGACCCCCCCTGGAGAGGCCTGAAGTTAACATATAAATTCAACTGAAGTAAACAATGAGTACTCTTGATACTACTCAAAGTAAGATTTTGAATGCAGGAATGTTATTGTTTCAGACACTGTGATATTTCTACTTTTGCTTTTGTAAAAGGTCTGAATACTTCCTTTAAATCACATGTAAAAACAAATAAACAAACGGAACAAATGCACTCCTACTGACTGTCCTACAGTTAGACATCTATCCAACTACCAGCTTCCATTCAGTGTTTCCTTCAGATTGTAGAGGCATCCAGGGGGCTGCATTTACACCCCTTACATCTTCTTTTAAACAAAGCTCACCAAATATAAAAGGTATATGGTATAGACAAAATAATAAAACAAATAGAGTGGGAAATTGTGAAAATAATTAAAAAACATTGAAAGCCAATGTTGAGGGAAAAGGTTGATGAGCGTCCTGTCGCCCTACTCAGATTGGTGTGTCCCGCACCGTCGTGTCTTTTCGGCCGAGCCGACACTTTCCGCTCCCGATTCAACTTAGGCTGTCAGCAAAATAAATCACTCTGATTGGCTGTTCAGCTTAGCGAATCAGTGCATGGAAGCGAGGTACGCAAACAAACGATTAAGAAGGCACACACAGACGGCTATTATTTTTCATTTTCATCTATCTGCTTCCACAAGCAACAGTCCAAGAGCTGATACCGCAACCCTGTCTCCTAGAAATTACGTTCCCACAAAACTAAACTGCATTCTCAAATACGTTTCGCAAGAAACGTATTTCCTTCCACGTTACGTTTGTTCTGAACATATCTTAAATACGTTTATTTTCTACATATCTTCTAGAAACCTATTTTCTCCCACATGACGTTTGTTATGAACGTATCTCAAATACGTTTGCTTTCTACCTATATTTGCCATTTCTTTTCTAGCTTATAATAATGATAATAGTAATTTATTAATATCATTTTAGAGCAAACTTATTTTCGTGCTGGTTGGCGGCTCACTGTTCAGTTTACCAAATCTGTTATTATGCTGGTTAATGGTTAATAATCACAATATTGTTTGTAGTCGTTTCATACAGCATTCTCAATTACGTTTAACAAGAAACGTATTTTGTCCCACGTTACGTTTGTTCTGAACATATCTTAAATACGTTTGCTTTCTACCTATCTTTGACATTTCTTTTCTAGCTTATAATAATGATAATAGTCATTTATAAATATCATTTTAGAGCACACATTTGAAATCGACGATCAGGCTTGATATCCTATGGTTAAATTAAAATCAGTAGGCGAGGCTGTAATTTCGCCAGCTGCGAGGCAGAAAATAATAGTTTTAACATGCCAAAAAGCTGCTGTGTGTCACGGCCCAAACTGTGTCCCTGTGTGTCCCTGTTTGTTCCCCTGTGTGTGTGTGGAGGGGGTGTGGTTTCCCTTGCAGGCAGCAGCCTGATTGCACTCACCTGGCCGACCGGCTCAGCTGTCCCTCATCAATCCAATCAAGACACAGCATATCTACTCCAGTCTCCCAGCAACTCACCGCCAGATTGTTTTCTACACCAGTGGTATTGCATCCTCCTGGCTGCTCATTTCAGTTATCCT